AGACGATCAACGCCCCAGGCCAGCAGGAAGCAGCCTTAAGACATCTTCGCCCCTACTTCCCTAACCTGCCACGCCCAATTCTCTAACTTTTATAATAAACAACAGCCGGGATTGTAAGAACAAAACACCTGGATGACCCTAACCCCGCCCCCTAACAAGCGGGTACTCACTCACCCGCCATGCCTTTCGACCTTTGCCCTACTGCGCATATGCAACCTTCCCTTTAAAAGGTCCTGCCCCACACCCCTCGCTCTCTTTCTCTCGGCTTCCCTAGGGTTGGCTGACTGCCCATCTCCCCTTTCCCCCCTTTCTGGTAAATAAACTCCACGTGGATTGCTTATTCGTTGTTCCTTTCCTTATTAGCAGCTGCAGCTTAAACAAAAGAATAACACTGGTACCTTTCTGCATCCTGTTTACTTGGTTAACTGTAAATCAACTTTCCTCAATCAAAGGCTTGTTTCTGGAATCATCTCTTCATGAATTTTTTCCCTCCCTTACCTATCTCTACAGTTTACTTCCTCAATAGTGTCTTAACAGTTAATTGAACTGAGAACCCGGTCTTTCTCTCTTGAGAAGAGGGGGGTGTGTTTTAGTTCTTACAATATGAAGCTCCATTCCTGGGACACGATGAGTGACACTCAGGAGAAATTTTCAAGTGAATAGACAAAAACTAAATATTTGGAAAGAAGGAAACAAAGTTTGCATAACTAAACACTCATTGAAATTTTAGAACTTCAAATTTGAGGTCAATCTAAACTTAAGCAATGTGCTTCTTTTCAGTTTTCTAGAAGATAAGAAAGATAATATTTTGGTATTGAAAGACCCCAGAAGGGGTACTTTCGTAGAAGGAGACCCGCACCCAGGAATCAGCGAAACCACAAACTTTGGATGCAAAGGCAAGAGGCTTTATTAGTAGCGCTAGTCCCCGGGGACTTAGCTTTGTTAGGCTAAGCCCGGAGCCCCAGAAGGGGAGTCCTTTTATAGGGGAAAAAGGCACCGTAATAGTCAGGCGAAAAGGCCTTTATCTTTTGCCGTGTCCAGATGGCTGACCTTGGGACGGAGCGATCCGGCGGGGGCGGGGCGGCCTTGCGCGGCGGGGAAGTGCCGGCAGCTGTGGGGATCAAGGGTGGGGGGGGGTGCAGGGGAGGATGTATTCCCCATGCGCTCCGCCAGCTGCGCGCGGGGAAACTTAAAAGAAAAAGCTAAGGGCGGGGGTCTTTCAGTATTAGCTTAATACTTGGCAAATAATGCTTCAAATTATTCAAATAAACCTTTCAAACCATGTGAATCAGTCGATAAATTTCTGATAATTCATATTCCAATAATTTCCTTTATATTTAAAATCTAATCTGATCCAATAGTATAATTTTTTTTTTCAAGACAGTCTGGCTGTCCCGGAACTCCCGCTGTAGAGCAGACTGGCCTTGAACTCACAGAGATCACCTACCTCTGCCTCCCGAGTGCTGGAACTAAAGGATTGAGCCACCATCACTGTGCATAAGAAACTTTCTTACTAAACTCACTTAACAGAAAAGTATTCTGCTATAAAATACTAGAAATTATTTTATGTGCTAATTAATATCTTTTTATTTAGATCTTGTGTACATGCTACATGAAGCTTCAGTAAACACCCACATCTACAACCCGTGTTCGAGGCTTGCTTGCTCGCACTAAAATTCTATGCACAGGTAAGGTATATATGTTCATAAACACCTTTAAAAGCGTCCCTTTCTCAGATTCAGCATTTCTTAAGATTTTGCCAATATTTGGCCTCGGATAGTAAGAAACAACACATACAACACTGTGAGCACTGTTCAACCAAAGAAAACACTTTCAAGACAGGCGCGGGAATGGTCCTGTGGGCATTTTAATGGCAGAACGAAGGCCTTGGTGCTGGGAACTGAAGTTAGGACAGACTACATATCCCAGCTTACCTTGCCTCTATCGGGGACCACAATTCCCACAACCACAGAAGGCGCCTAGTTGCCGGGACTTGTAGTTCTCTGGGGTGTTGTGGGCTCCGCCCCAGGATGTGAGGTGCAGTTGTCCAGCTTTTGCCAAAGCGGAAACACTTCGGGCCCCGCGGCCGGTGTTTTACCTGTTTCGCCCGTCAGCTTCTGTTTTACAAAAGGTAAGAACTCCGCCCTTCCCCGCCAGGCGGTCGCGTCTCTGCTTCTTTGAGCGACGGCGGCTCGGAGCAGCCGTTTGTCCCTTGGCTCTCGCCGTAGCGGCCGCCGCCCATCCCTCTTTGTGTGACTGGGACGCCGCGGATCTGCGGTAGCGACAGTTGGAGAGGGACGATCCCGGGAAGTTACCGGCCAGAGGAAGCTTTCTTAACCTCGCCACCTGACAGGTGGGTCGGCCGCCCTTCTTTCAAGGCCCCTTTGCCTCCAGTGGCCGCGTCGGAGCTCGCGGGGCCGGCCGGCCGGCCGGCCGGCCAATCGTTCTGACAGCGCCGGCCCTGGTGACTCTGGAAGGCCTGGGGAAACCACCGCGGCCCTTTGGCAACACTTCGGGACCCTCCGCGGGTGGCCGGAGCCCCGGGGTCTCGGGTTTTCACCCGTCTGGCGGTCCCGGGACACACCCCAGCCCGGATCACGTCCTCTTGGCCTTAAGCCCAGGAAGAAACTAATTCCTTAAGCTTTGCTTAGTTTTATGAATAAATGTCCAGGCACCTGGCGTGTGTGTTGGAGGTCGCTGGACACTGAGAGGTTTCTAACACCATTCTAGATACTTTCCTCTTCCCGGCGTTTTAAGAAAATGAACCTGTCAATCACGGAGCAGAGGCTCTGGCCTGCCTGAGGATGAGGGAGCTAGCTGATGACCTGTGCTGCAGCCGGACAGGCCAGTTATGGTTGACTGAAAATAAACTTCTTTAATCTAGATAGCAGATGGTATTGCTATACTTGTTGACAGTTGGCCGTAAACAGAAAGTAATACGTCCAGCCTAGCATACAGAGTAATGTATATGGAAGCTCTCTCCAACAGCCCTTACAGCGTGAAGCTTTTTTGAGACCTGGAAAGGGTGGGTGAAGAAACACCTGCTCTTGCTTTTTGAGTTTGTTCAAATGACTTGACTGGGAGTATATGTAAGAGTTTATAATATATGGTTATATTTAAGTGATTTCTCCTGTCACCTGCACACCACTTTTTTTTATTTTTTTATTTTTTTTTTGTCCACTGTCCCACCAGTCTTTCTGGAGTACTGAAATCAGAATTCCCTTTTTGCATTTAGGGTGGGTGAATTTTGCCTCCTTACCAACTTGCTCATAATCCAAACTTCTTCTGTTTCCTAAGAGATTACTCCGAAGATTTTCAAGAGGTTATTTGCCCAGTTTCCTAAATCTAAAGTATTTATTCCTGAAATTGTACTGAGACACTGACTAAACCAGTAATGTAGATAAATAAGGTAACAGATTCCTGGTTCCTGCCTTACGCCCAGCCCATAGGTTACTTTTCTAGTTAAAGATACTGGTTCATCACCCATTGTAACACTCAATATAAAGTCACGTTCATGTTTGTAATTCCATTTACTTTACACATGATTCATTCTGCCACTATAATTTTAATGTTAAGGTGGCCATGCTGTGAAAGTAACAAAAACACAGTTCCAGACTCAACTAGCTAACAGTCTAATATGGAACATGTCAGGTCCATTCACAGAGAGTCATATAAAAATTCCATGAGAAGGTGTAAGGGTGGAAAAATATCATTTGACTTGATTGCTATGGAACATCTATGGAACTTAAAGAATTTTTAGGAACTTTCTGTTTAGCCATTCAGTGTTTTTTTTACCAACTTTCTAAGAACAAATGCAGCAGTCTCTGTTTTTGGTTTCATGGCTGAAGACTAAGCATTCCTTAAAAATCTGTCTTGCTATGTGTGGCCCAGGCTGCTTGAATTCAGACTCTTCCAGCTCTGCTTCTGGAGAGCTGGGATTATGGGTGTGAGCCATCATACTCTGCTAAAACCTAAGTTTAATGCTAACCTGTCTTTTGTTTAAAACATTAGTTATGACTTTTATTATCTAGTACTCAACTACAGAGGCATCAAAAGCCTCTGGATCTGGGGTTGCTGCTGACTCCTCTAATCCCAGCACACTAGTGTCTTGAGGTAGGAGGACTGCCATGAGGACATCCTAGGCTACATCATGATTTCAAGGCCAGCCTGGCCAAAGAGTGAGACATTGTTAAAGTTGCTCTTAGGAACATTAAAGTACTCACTAAGTGCTAGCTATTGTGCTCAAGTTTTGGGTAATACTTGTTCATACATTTGTTTAAAATGTTTTCTTATGTCTTAGTGGTATGTATCTATGTTTTTATTATTTAAAAAATATAACTTGTGTGTTCTTCTTAGGTAGCATTGAAATTCTTAGCTTACTTAGGTACATTTCTTGAAGTACTATTTTTTTTAAGTGTGGTACATTTTTTTTAAATCAATTAATGATATTGTAAATGTTGGTATACTTTTTAAGGTCACAGCCATGTCGGACAAGAGTGAATTAAAAGCTGAGTTGGAACGTAAGAAGCAGAGGTTGGCCCAAATCAGAGAAGAAAAGAAGAGGAAAGAAGAGGAAAGGAAAAAAAAGGAAGTATGTTTGATTTAATAAAACAAACAGCTCTTTAGTATGAATAAGTACATTCTGTTTCAAGTATGGACCTTTCTGTAATAACTTCAGAATAGTTGCAAAACCAACAAATCCAGTTGGTATTGTCAGTGTAGCATTATCCGTGAATCTTACTTTACAGCTAAGTATATGGCAAAACTGATACAGTATGATGCATTTCTAAGATTTGAGTTATGGAAATTGAATTTATTCATGTAGTCTTCTAGGGATATATTTTTGTGCAAAGTAAGATCATCTGTATTATAATACTTTATAAGATAGCAAATATATGTTTATCATAATAAATTCATTATGTAAATACTTTTGCTAATTTGCTAGAATAATATCCTGGCAAACTGAGCTATATATAACAGTTTGAGTAGAGGATTTGGATATACTTAATGTTTATTGTGAGATAGTCACGGAAATATATTTACTGAGCAGTAGATTTGATAGTATCAATAAGCTACTTTAATCTTCTGATTTTACTTACCACATACTGTAATATATAAATATTACAAATATACATTAGCTCTGAGCTGGACATATTTTACTTGTCCTGCATTAACATTTATACATTAAGTCTCTATTGCAGCTCTTGAGGAAGATTTGTTTACCTGTATCACAGATGATTTCAAATGGCCAGTATACCATAACTTGACCTAAGTGTGCCTGTTGGACAAAGTTTATGTATGTAAATGCCAGGGTTACAACAAGACTAGCAGATATCTCTCAGGAACTAGAGAAAGAGCATTGGCAGAAAAGTGACTTAAAAGTTATGTGCAGCATTGCCATGACTGTAATTGAACAGTTTCCTGTCGCCCCCCCCCACCTTTCTGTGATATACAGAAAAAAGGTTGAAACTTTGCATTAGATATTTGATTAGTAGCTAATGGCAGAGTAGATTCAAATAGTATTTATAACCTTAAACTATTCAATAGTGAAAGCAAAGTTGATTTTTATTCTTTACAGGTGTCCGTAAGTGGCCTCTAAGGAATAATGGTTATGTGATTGATTTTTAACTTAAAATCTTTAAAACGTGATGAAACAATAAGCAGCGAGTCTCCTATATTGCACACAGTGAGGCATCAGCTTGATAACATCGTCTCTTTTGCTGTATTCTGATAAAAATAAGTTAATGTGATACAAAAATATTGTGACTGGTAAAATTCATTCAATATAAGTAATAGTTGTCTACTTGGAAAGCTTTTCACTGAAAGCTTAAACTTTACTCTAAAAATGTTGAGATTTGTCCAGTGTAGCTGGAAGATTTTGCTAAAATTATATATAAATGGCTAAAATAAAAGTTGGCAGCTGGGTGTGGTAGTGCACACCTTTAATCCCAGAACTTGGGAGGCAGAGTTCCGAGTTTGAGGCCAGCCTGGTCTACAGAGCAAGTTCCAGGACAGCCAAAGCTACAGAGAGAAACCCTATCTTGAAAAAAACAAAACAACAACAACAAAAAAGTTGGTAAAAAATTTTGTAACACAAATGTTTTGTGTTACTTAAAAAAAAAAATTGGTTTTAATTGTCCTAGATATGTGTTTGTTTTTGTTACTAAAATATGACCTGAAAGCTGGCCTTAGTGGCACTTGCTTGCAACCCTAGCTACTTGGGAGATTTAGATAGGAAGATCTCGAAAGTCCATAGAGTTGAGACCAACATGCATAGCATGGGGGAAAAAAAAAAAACATAAAATAATAATAAAAACTTAAAAAATGAGTTTTCTCTAGATTTTTTTTTTTTTTTTAATTACCGCTGTGTGAGTCCAGAAGAGAGTTTAACAGCTGGAGTTAAAGGTGTTGTGAGTTGCCAGACATGGGTGCTGGGGATTGAACATGGGTCCTGTGCAAGAGCAGTGTGGACTCTCAACTATGAGTCATCTCTTCAGCTTCTTTAGAAGAGTTTTTGATAAAATTCTTTATATAAACTCATTGAAATTTTTAAAAATGGTTCTTTTGGGTTTTTTTCAACAAAGCAAATTGTCTATTTACTTATATCTTAATTTCCTCTAATTTTTCCCTTCTGCCACACTTATATCTAAGCTTTTGTACCACTAGGGTTGGAGACTTCCATGATTCCTGTCCTTGGTGTCAATACTATAGAGAATTTGAAGTTGACTGCTTTTTAAAAATGCACTTGCTTTTTAAAATGTTATTTATGCATTTTAAGACAGACTCTTGCCATGTAGCCTTGGCAGATCTGGAACTTATATGTAGACCAGGCTATCCATGAACTGGGCAAATTCTCTGCCCACTGAATTCTGGGATTCTAGGCATGAACTACCATTCCCAGCTTTTTTGAAAATATATTTGTGGAAATGCCTTGATTATATATATTATATAAACATCGATCCAGTGATGATGATTTATAAAAAGAACTTCATATTAAAAACTAATTTTATTCTAAAAGTTTGTAGTTATAACTTTGATTTTAAAATACTTTTATATGGGACTGGAGAGATGCCTCAGTGGTCAGTTGCACTGACTGCTCTCTTAGGGGAATGGGTTTGACTCCCAGTACCCAAATGGCAGCTCACAAACATTGACAGCTCTAGTCCGGTGGGAGGTGCAGGGGGTGGGGGGGACACAGCTTCTTGTTTTGGCATCCATGGGCACCAGGCAAACGTGGTGCACATATATAACATTCAAGCAAAACACTATACACATAATGTAAATAAAAATTAAAAATTTTAAATAAAATATTTGTATAAATAGGAGTGTGTTATACATAAACTTGAATTTCTAATTTAAAACATTTAGACTGATCAGAAGAAGGAAGCTGCTGTTTCTATGCAAGAAGAATCTGATCTTGAAAAGAAAAGAAGAGAAGCTGAGGCACTGCTTCAAAGCATGGGGCTAACTACAGATTCCCCTATTGGTAAGTATATCTACTTATGGGTGTTGAGCTTAGATATATCTGAGCTCAGTGTATTGGTTAGATATCATTTGCATATGTTCTTTGTCTCAAAAACATTAATCTTATCATTTGCTTGGATTTCCTTTTTTTCCCAGATATATTATGTATAGTTATTTTATTTGTTTGAGAAATCAAGATTAATACCTACTAACACAAACCAAGCTACCAAATTGAATTTTCTAATTTAAATGAGTAACTTACTATTCACCATACTATGTTAAACTTGAAGATGAGTATTTCCTAATCTTAACTGTGAGCTCCTTTTTGTAGGCTAGGGAAAGATAATACCAAGTCAAAGTTATATCACTAGTACTCAAAAGCAAAGGAGCAGGAAGAGAAATCTATAGTATTCTCTCAAATCAGTAAGAGGCATAATCCTGGCTGCCTCTCTTGACAGTCATTTCACTTGGTCTTGTTCTTTTCCTGGGTTATTCATTTTGATAGTTATATTAGACAAGTAGACTGTGTAGAGATACTGAGAATGATCTAGTTATACATCAGAAAGCATTTAATGCTTACTTAAGTAATGTAGTTCTGTGTTGGGTGCTGCTACAGAAAATGTATTTTAGTGTGACAATGACCTTTAGGGACCTGGCATTTCAAGGTTAGTTTTTGAGCTAATATCTTTGTATGTTTGTGTGTGTGATGTGTGTTTTTTGTGTTTGCAGGTAGGTGCCATGCATGTAGAAACCAGAAGTGTAGTGAGATGTTTTACTCTTTTGGCTTTTTTGGGGGGCCAGCCACCTAGCTCCCAAATAAATACACATGGAGGCTTATTCTTATTTATAAATGTCCAGCTTTGCTTGGCTTGTTTCTATCTCCTCTACTTTTTCCCTGTGGGCTTTTTTCTTTCTTACTTCTGTGTATCTTACTTTCCTTCTTACTCTGTGGCTGTCTGGATGGCTGGGTTACTGGCCCACGATGTCTTCCTCTCTTTGTTTTCTCGTTGCTCTTCTTCCTCGTTTCTCCTTCTATTTATACTCTCTGCCTGCCAGCCCTGCCTATCCTTGATCCTGCCTCTCTATTGACCAGACTCTCAGCTCTTTATTATACCATAGGTGTTTTAGACAGGCAAAGAAACACAACTTCACAGAGTTAAACGAGTGCAACATAAACAAAAGTCACACCACCTTAAAATAAAATTCTACCACAGAGAAGATAACCTTGGTAACATTCCTTGGGGGCTACCCACCTTCCTGACCTTGAGCTCTCAGAGTAGACTAGGCTGCTGGCCATTTAGTCCAGGGATCCACCAGTCTCCATCTCCCTGGCTGGGACTACAAGCATATACCACCAAGCTGGTTCTGGGGCTGGAGCTCAGGTCCTCATTCTTGTGCAGCTAGCACTTTACCAATAGAACTGTCTCCTCAGTTTTGGACTTGGTTTTTTGTGACAGGGTTTCTTGCCTAGTCTGACCTTGAACTCAGAGTCTTCTTGCCTTGGCCTCCAGGTATGATGGTGTGTGCCATCATACCTAGGGTGTAGGCTAATTTCATCTAGCCTAGGTGACATATATCAGAGGCAGTGACTGCTATGTACCTGTTGTAGAACTTCACTGTCCTTAGTAAAGCCGGTATTTCTAAAAGGTTTTAAGGTGAGAAGGCTAATTATTCTTAGGATCTGTTCATTGTTACTTCTTCCTGTTTATGTTTTCTTTATTGACAGAATTTGAAGACTACAGCACATTAATTTTTATGTCTTTAATAATCCTGTGCTATATATACTTTGATTTTAAAAACAAATTAATTAGATTATTTTTTTCTGGTTATCCTAGTAACTGAACCACATCTCTTATTAGTTGTATGTTCCTTGAGAGGATCCGGGTTTTTTTTTTTTTTTTTTCTGTGCCATTGTTTTTTTGTTGTTGTTGTTTTTCTTTTCTTCCCTTTTCTTTTTCCCCCCTTGGCCTTCCATTTCACTTGCTCATATGTCATAGTTCACAGCCCACCTCTGTTGTTGATTCTTGAAAGATCACTCTTTAGAGATGTGGGGTGGAGAGGGCTTGTCCTCTTTCTCCATTTCTAATTCTCCTTCCTATCATACATGATGGAACCATTCTTTAATTTTTAGAATATATAGGTTCTTTGGGTTTGTCTTCTGAGTGCTTGTATTTCTAATTTTTCATATTTGTGTATGTTTAACATTGTATTGTCTAATTGTTTATTCCATGTTGCTACATACATATCTGGCTAGTTATTTTTGACCTAGTATTGGCTAGTATTCCATTATGCATTATATTTTACTTCCCCAGTTTCCTAGTACAATGCATTTAGTTTGCTCTTGTCTGTTTTAGTATCATAAGCAACAGTACAAAATATGTATGCCCTCCCTTTGGAGGACAGAAGAATTCTCTGGGGATATGTCCAGGAACTAACTTGGCTGTGATGTTTTGTTTAGACTTAATTAGGTTCTGCTTATCAGTCTTGAGAGTGGCTTCAAATGCTTACCCTCCTGTGTCTGTATTATCACTGAATATTGTCCAAGTTTCTAATTTTTGCCAGCTTGATGAGCATTTCTATTGCTGTGATAAAATTTCCTAACAAAAAGCAACTTAGGGAAGAGTTTACTTTAGCTCACAGTTCCAGATCACAGACTGTCAAATGGAAATCAGGACTCAAGCTATCTAGTCACATCCCATGCCCTGCCAAGAGCAGAGCAAAATGAGTCCATGTATGCTGCTCCCTTTCTCACTTGTGCTCAGCTCAGTGTTTCTGCTTTAACACAGTTCAGAAGCTCCTGCTTGGAGAGTGGTGTCATCCACATCAGTTAACTTCATTGAGATAGCCCTTACCAACACACCGTGGGCTCAGGTTATGCCCAGCTGACATTAAAGCTACCTATCATAGGTAGTGATAAACCCAACATCTTTTAATACATACTTACCTGATTATAGGGAAGTGACTACGATCTCTTCATACAACTATCAGTCATTCAGTTTTTCTCCTCTGGGATTTGCATATGTGTGTTATTTTGCTTGTTGATTGTTGAGGTTTTTATCTTTTGATTTGTAGGGCTTTTGTTTAAAAAACAAAACAACTCTCTCCTGTTGACTCTGTTCTTAATCTTTATTGGAGTCCTTCATTTTATGTAGTCAAATATACCAGCTACCTTCTTTTTTGGTCTTGCTGTATGGCCCTGTCTGGAATTTGCTGTGTAGACCTGGTTACCGGGGTGTCTGTAGGTTTTCAGTGTGTATAGGTGGGAAAAGAGAGCCTTTCCATAGAAATGTGAGCCAAGACATGAAAGTGGAAAAAGGTAAAGTATACTCAGAGAAATAGCACAGGGTTCACTTTAATTGGATGGCAAGATAGGCACAGAAAGGATATTGTAAATGAAGGATGAGGCTGGACTTGGAGGAGCTATTGGGAGACAGTTGACAGGCTTTACCCAGGAAAGTAGTATGGTCAGAGCTCTTATCAGCTGTAAGTTGTTGAGGTTTTGGGGATTTTTTTTTTTAATGTGTATAAGTGTTTTGCCTACATGTATGTATATGTTACCACATGTGTGCCTCAGAGACCAGAGAGTATGTAGAATCCTCCAGAACTGGAGTTAAGGGTGGTGTGAACCACTGTGTAGGTACTTGGGAACTACACCAAGGTTCTCTGGAAGAATAGCAAGTGCTCTTCTTCTCTTTTTAAGTATTTGTTGTTATCTGTGTGTGTGTATCATGTTGAGCATTTAGAGGTCGGAGTACAACTTTGTGAAGTTGGTCCCCTCTTCCTTCATGTGGGTAAAGAGGATCAAACTTAAGTCTTCAGGCTTTTGTAGCAAAGCGCCTTTTCATACTGAGCCATCTCACTAGCCTTATATTCTATCTTTTTTTTTTTTTTTTTTTTGAGACAGTCTCTCTCTATGTAGTACTGCTGTCCTGGAACTCACTATGTAGACCTGGCAGAACTCAAACTCACAGAGATCTACCTGTTTCTACTCCCCTTAGTGCTAGAATTAAAAGCCAGCTTCTTTCTTTGTAATGAGGGCTTAGGTAAACATTTTACATGACCATAATCTCATTATAAATTGAAAATGGCATAAATCTGTAGTATTGAGATTTCCCATAAATTTGACTTCCCTTTTGAACCATGAAAACAGTTTGAAACATTGATTTTTGAAACTCAGATTTCTAATATTTATTTTTACAGACTTTTAAGGAAAATCTAAAAACTATTGAGAGCTTTTGATAAACCCAGCTTTGGGATAGGCTTCTGAGTATAGACAAGAGTCTTGCAGAGCTCCTGTAGTGGGGCTGGATTATCATGGTGATGTGTCAGTGAGACAGAGCTGCATTAGATAGGGTGTTCAGGAAGAGCTATGTGAGGGAGAACAGTATGACCAGAAGGAGCCCAGTGTGCTAAAGCTGCTTCGAGTAGGATCAGTCCAGGTGAGGCAATAGTGGGTACCAAGTCCCTGGGTAGATCCAGGCTTAATTAGGCTTGTGTGGTTGCAGTGTAGTCAGCCAGAGTGAAGTGGGTAGAGGCCAGGTGATTTAAAGCCTGGGGTAGGATAGAAGTTTTATTTTTAACAAAATCAAAACCAAACTAAACCTTTATTAGTCTTTTCTTTAAGAAAACAAACAAAACAAAAACAAACTCCAAGATAGCTATGATTAGCTTAGGAAAATGGATGTACATCTTCAAAGTATTTCACTCTAACAGAAACTTATGCTTATAGAATCTAAACATTAAAGGTTAAAAAAAAAAACAAAACAGAATCTACATAAGTCAAAGAAATCCATTCATACTTCAGTCCTTCTCCAGGAACCAGTATTGTTATATTACTGCCATTTAGTAGAATTTGATCTAATTTAGTAATCCCTCTTCCTTCCACTATAGCTTCAAACTCTGAGATATCTTCCAACATCATATTGACAAACTCTTCAAGTCCTAGAAGTATACCACAATTCCATTTTCACTCTTTATCCATGTGAATTCTTGATCCTGTGCACTTGTGCACAAGCTCTAATG